TGATTTTATGTCTTATCCGATGAATAATGCCGTAATCTTAAAAAAGTGCTTACAAGGAAGAATTCGGTTGCAACTTCACATCGGCTATTCCAACCAACGTATTCGGTCCTCATGATAACTTGTAAGTGGTCTCCTAGGTCTCTTAGTTGTTTTCCTTCTAACTGGAATGTTGTTTGTTAAGTGATTTAGAAGATTCGCACGTCATTCCTGCCTTGATCCACAAATGTTACCTTGCAAAGAGTGAGTATCCTTCTCCCAAACGAATGCTTTGACCTGACCGAAACACACAGAAAACAACACCCCTTTTATCGTTTCTGGAACGGGAAAACCCCTGCGACAGTTCATCTTCTCGTATGATCTTGCAAAATTGTTCATCTGGATGTTGAGAGAGTACGATGATATTGAGCCCGTTATTCTATCTGGTCAGTTCTACCCTTCTCAGCTGTCGAATTCTGAGAATTTATTTATTTTCTCAGTTGGAGAGGACGAAGAAGTGAGTATTAAAGAGGTCACGGACGCTATTGTCAAGGCCGTTGGATTCCAAGGAGAATATACCGTATGTATCCACGCCTTTTTTGTTTCACGATACATCGTGATTGATAGTAACAATACTTAGTTCGACACCACACGTGCGGATGGTCAATTCCGTAAACCTGCTTCGAACAAAAGGCTTTTGTCTTTGATTGGAGAGTTCCGGTTCACGCCTTTCTCAGAAGGTCTGTTCTCAATTCTTGGTCTTTTTTTTTCCTGTTTTGATTTATACCATGAACAGCGTTGGATCTCACTGTCAAGTGGTTCGTTGACAACTACGCCAATGCGCGCACAGGCGTACACAAACTATGAATCTGTATATAGTACCCTTGAAAACTCACGCCGGACCACTACGGATTTACATCCATTGTTTTTTTGATTGTATATCAAAGCCTGCCTAGTGGCTAATACTACTGCTACTCATTACAGCTTCAAATACTACAAATGCGATGAATTACATTTTGAGCAGGACTTGTGTCAATTATTGTTCAATGTTGAAGGAGACTATGTAGCTAGGGATACGAAGAAAGAAATTTTTCGGCGTTCGCCATTTTTGATTAAGCTCGATAGCAGATCAGTTCTGATCTTCGACGAGGCTTGCTGCTGCTTTCAGATCAGCGGCTACCATTTCTTGCACAAGGGAATCAAAGTCCACACGACGCTTCCAGCCCAAGACGCGTTCAGCCTTGGCTGGGTTTCCAAGCAAGAGGCTACAAACAAAAAAGTAGAGCCATTGATGAGCAAAACAGATCCCTCGAAACAATTGAACACGTTTTTGAAATACGTACTCCACTTCGGCAGGTCGGAAGTATGCAGGGTCTACCCTGACGACAACTTTACCATTGCTGATGTTGGTCGCGTGTTCATCCACGCCCTTCCCTTCCCATCTGACCAAGAATCAGAGGGCAGATGATACGAAATAACGGAGAGGAACGTACTTGAGTTGGATGCCAAGAGCATTGAATGATTTGTTCACGAATTCACGGACTTGATGGGTTTCACCTGTCGCCAGCACAAAATCATCAGGGGTTGGCTGTTGGAGCATCAACCACATTCCTTCTACATAGTCCCTTGCTGTAGCGAACAAGATGATCGATCGATTAGCTATATCACGAAAGATAAGGGAGCATATTACTCACCATGGCCCCAATCACGACAAGCATCGATATTTCCGAGATAGAGACACGATTGCTTGCCCAATGAAATATCTGCAGCCGCCCTCGAAATCTTCCTAGTGACGAACGTCCTGCCTCTTCGTGGACTTTCGTGATTGAATAGGATCCCGTTACATGCGTACATGCCGTATGCTTCACGGTAGTTGATTACAATCCAGTAGGCGTAGAGCTTGGCGCAGCCATAGGGAGATCTAGGATAGAAAGGCGTGGTCTCGCTCTGTGGAGTCTCTACAACCTTTCCGTAAAGCTCGGATGTAGATGCTTGGTAGAATCTGACATGTTTTTCGAGTCCACACGTCCGGATGGCATCGAGAAGACGGAGAGTGCCTAGCCCGTCAACATCGCCAGTGTATTCAGCCATTTCAAAGGAGACTTTGACGTGTGATTGGGCGCCAAGGTTGTAAACCTCCGTCGGTTGGACTTGGGCGAGGATGTAAACGAGATTGGTGCTATCGCTGAGATCACCATAATGCAACTTAAATTTATTGGGATCTATAGCTTGATGTTAACAACAGAGTTTTTGGATGCAAAGTTCTTGTGAAACATACGTTCATGTTGATCTTCGTAAAGATGGTGAAGTCTGCCTGTGTTGAAGCTTGAAGATCGACGAATGATCCCGTGAACTTGGTAGCCTTTACCCAAGAGCAATTCTGTCCTATCAAGTTTTGTTTTATGGGAGAGTTTGATTGAGCACGCGACTGGCGCTCACAAATAGGATCCATCCTGTCCAGTGATACCTAAAAACATACTAGTTAGCGTGTCGTTTGGGTCGGTTAATGGGCCTTACCAGAAATGAGAGCTACTTTGCGTTTTTGGTACTCTTCCACGGGAGGGAGGTTGAGTTGTGCAAAAGATGGAACAAGCTCGTGAGCGGACATCGTGGTTAATGATCAAAAAAAAGATTATCGGATATTCGGCTGATTCGATTTTTGACCAAACGCCCGCTCAAAAACAGCTGCCCATGTGTACGTCGCATCTATTGTCTTACTATAGGGTTCTCCGCAAAATCATCCAACGTTTCATGTAGGCGTTTCGGAAGACAAAGGTAGTACCATGGAGGACTCATTCTTTCCGAATTGTCGACTTTAGCGCCATAAGAAATCAGGGATTCCTTTGCTGTCCTTTGCCATGCTGGTGAACATGCCGCTGAATGCGGTCCGTAACTTCCCGTCTCTCTGTGCCACTAAGTAGCAATACATGGGTCCCTGACTCTCCACATTCTACCGCTTTTTTGGATTCTATTGGTCAACAATCCTTCTTCATCGCTCGCCGATTCTCCTCCTTCTGGAACAAACCTTGACAGCAGCTTGGAAGCCCAAGGAGTCTCAAGTAGTTGCCCCCCTTCCCCAAGTCTTGGATCCACGTCTGACCTCGAAATCAAGTCCAACAAGAGAGTGCAAAATAAACTATCTACCAGCAGCAGGCGCATTATAAAGTCCCTACGAAGTCTAGGAAGTGGTTCGAACAAGGCTGGTTTCATTATCCATCTCTGGTTTATCGCCTCCTGCTATATCTGGAGGCGAGGTCCATAGGTGTAGGAAGCAGTTCACGTCAGAGACTGGAAAGAAAATCAGACGAATCCAGACGATATGATGTAACCATGGTACACTTTCATAAGTTTAATATATTTTTCCCTTCCACACAGGTCTCTATCGTGGGAAGAGACGAGTGTTTTTAAACTATAAGCCACCCTTCGGAGTCAAAGTCGAGCCTTTGAGCTTGCGGTTCTTCGAATGTTACTTTTGGCAATATGCGAAGCGGAGGAGGTTTCGATTTTTCTTTGCCCAGGGGTAGTGGAAGCAATGCAGGTCCATCACCTGACAATCTCTTCGAATCATCTCTCTCAGTCACTTCACACCACTCGTCCTCAATCCATATTGGTAGGAGCGTTTTGCTGTCTTCTAGCAACGTCTGGAGAGAGCCGGCGCGTTGAGCGAAATAATTTTCAAGGTTACTGAGCCGATCGTTAACGACGCGGAACAATATTTTTCCAACCGCAGCTATAGGATGAACTGAAAGGACCACACCGCCGATCATAGTGGACAAGATGATCACAATTGCTGTATATCTTGCCAAACAAATCACTGCCAGAAAGATAAAAAAGGAATCTGCGCAATGGGGTAACGATGACTTACAGAGAAGGAGCTCGGAAAGTATTATTGTAACAATTGGGTAGCGAGACGTCCTCCTGCAAATGGAAGAAACAGCCTCCGACACGATCCTAGAGGTAAAATCAGCGTCGTAGGAATTGGACAGTTTGATTCAACAGGTCCCCTCACGCAATCCAAATGATTGGGAAAAATACGACAAAGAAGTAGATGCGATTGAAGGTCTGTGTTGCTAATTATCAGCTAAAAAGAATGCACAATAGTTAAACAGGAATATTCACGTCAATTGGAGAACTAGCATTGCAGCAGCTCAGCAACACCTGTGTAAATAGGTTTCCGTACTGTTGATCCAAGCTTTCTTCGCAGACGATAAGTGGATTGTAAGGGTTTGGATTACTACAGGACCACTGACCTCTAAGGGAAACGCTTACACATGGGCTTTTCAAGGTTGACGTCTCCGTGCGAATTTGAGTGATGGCCATATATCGGCGTGGTTTTGATATCGGCCTGTTAATGGTAATCTTGAAAGACATAGCGATCTAGTCTTGGTAAGAAGCTTGACTCGGAATGTGAACAACCTAAGATACAGTTCTTGATTGGCATTGAAAGCATTTTATAGCGTTCTTTATTGTATTGAAGTCCGAGGCAAAGTCCGCAGCTGATACCAAATAATCAGACACGTTGATTATTGACGTGGTGGATTTTAACTGGAAATACAATGACTAGGTTTGTAACTGTGCACGGGAAAATGGTAAATCTCCAAGGACGAGATGTAATATCATCCTGACTCACAATTGTAAAGAACTCCGCTGCTCAATCAACTAGATTTAGAGAGAAGATTAGAGTCATTATATTTACGCAGTCTCATGGGATAAGATGAGAAGCTGGAAACTGGGACTGGCAGAAAGCCTGGAAGCTCACAGAGCCATCAATCTGTCGTCGGATGAGATGCAAGTAGTGCCATAGACAACGAAAAAGAAATGATTCGTATAATGTTGTTGGCAGAGTCCCGGCCGCAGATGGTTAGTTACCATCCCTAGCTGCGCCGCGCGCCATCCCTGATCTCATTTTGGACTGGCGTGATATTATTAAACAAGTGGCATCACTTGAAGGATGATAAACCTGTTTGAGACAATCTGCTTCATCGCTCAGAGTCCTTTGATGTTGGAAGGAATATGGGGTACAACACCATGCATCAAGGTTTGTAGACAGTGTTCATTCCATAGATGTAGGATGCGTATAACGTGTAACGTGTAACAATGCATGGAAGCCACAATGTTTGTCGGACGGACCCAGCTGCCACGTTCTCAGTCCAGACGACCAATGCCATCTTCATGGAAACCAAATGTGATATAGAGATCCATGAAACATGTCTGATTTCTGATTAATGAACGACCGAAATTCAAATTAGAATGACCTTAAGATAGTGGGGGTCAAAGTCCAGTATGAGGCCAAGGAATGCATAGAAAGAACGCACAATAGTGGGGAAATCGCTACTGGGCTTTTTGTTGTATAAAATGCCGAGCATTCACAACAACTATGTGGTATCCTATTACCGTGACGAAAGCGAGAATGCCAAGCAAATTGGTCAAATTGTAGAGTGATTGGTGCGAGATCATGGGGACTGTCAATGGAGCATAAGTGTTGTTTCGTCAATTAGAAGGATAAGAACACCGACAATTGAAATGGTTGGTACTTGGTTGGCTGGTTGGCTGGCTGGCTGGCAGTGACCTGTATGACCTCAAGGATCGTCGTGGCTTATTTACCACTGTTTACATCACGGATGAGAACGGCGGGCTCAACTATTTGGAACTTTACCATATAGAACGGAATTACTCTGCCATGAAGCCTACACTTGCAAGACATAGCGATATGCCTGGACGTGAGTTTTTAATTTCTGTATCGCTATTAGCAAAATGTTAACTGGTTGGAACTCTCAGCAAAGGTCTACGTGAGCAACTTTTACATCACTATGTGAACTCGCAGGGGATTGATTGACGATTTCTGTAGAACCTTTGGTGGGGTGACAAGACTGGTATGAGACAGCGAGGAATGGTTCAATATAGTTCGTCCTTCTTGGATGCGTTTCGCATGTTTTGACAGCATCTGACTTTTGACGAAAAGCAATTTCTCCCTGGCAAACTAAAGCAGCCCCTCACATGTTGAGAAATTACCTCTTTAACGGCTACCGTCGTATTTCGGGTGAACTCTTCTTTTTCGGAATCCCATTTGCCATCGGTATGTATCTATTTCCTCATACATGCTTTTGAGATTTATTGTTCAAAAGGATACGCGACATATGCTTGGGCAAAGAGTTACGATGAGCATCAGAACAGCAAAGCTGCACATATTGCTTCGGGTGCAGGTGGACATCATGAGTAGACATTTCATTCGAAAAAGCATGGATTTTTATAGATTCGAGATGAATGCATACCTTTCTCCAGGCGTTTCCTTACAGGAACTCATTTGTCCCTTCATGAGCCTCTATATGTTCTGCGGATTGCCACCGTTTCACTCCGCCGGACTCTGAGCCAGATGGTGTTTCCACCTCAGAGATAGGTTCTAGTTGTACACAGGCAAACTCCCCAGAAGCCTTGCAGAGTGGTATGGTATATGTCTGTCTCGTTAATGCTATCATCAACGGCGTCAGGAAGCTCCGACATCACCTGTCCTCCAAGTGTTGTAGGCATCGATGCTGTTATTCCGTGTTCAATCCCTTCGCCTTCCTCTTTTCTGCGTCAATATTTCCATCGCCAATTGGTGGCCTGAGCCGTCTTCATGTGCTTCACACTCAATACTTTCAGCGTCGGGCATATCACGATCTCTTGCACCCGACGCCTGTGACCATACCAAAATGTCGACCATTCTACCCCAGGTATCATACTGAACTTCTCTTTCAGTTAATGTCTCCGACTTCAACACATTATGGACCAAGAATCGCAGATCTCTTTTAACAACAGGCAGTCATACCACTTCTATCCCGAGATTACTACAAATTTACAGATGTTATTATTTGTGAACTTGTATGTTTGGGGTCTCTATCTGCAGTCGTCGTCCGAGTCTGATCGATTTATTTCTTGCTAGTACCTAGACTTCAAACGGGTCATAATCCTCTTCATGTATTTCTAGGATTCAATCCAAACAACCATCTCTTCTCAATGTCTGCTAGGGATCCCTATGACAGCAGGGAAATGCTTCGGAATGGACATGACCTCATCTCCGCATATAGTTTCCGAAAGGTGCGTTAATTTGTTCTACTTCAGACTAAACTCATACTTTCATTGTTTGTCTCCTGCAGATTGGCGTTAACATAACCTCGCATGTCAACCTGACGTCGTGTCCCCACTTTATGATACGTCTTATTCCGGAGTCTGTGTATTCTCAAAACAAAACAAAAAGACTTAAGAAAAGCAACGTTTCATCTACATGGCTATCTAATCTCCTCCGTCCTATCCCTGGATGTGGTCTTCTGCCGAATATTTCAGGAGACATATATACCAGCTCGCAAAACACCCGCAGAAAGCTCCACGGAAAGACCGCATGGACCAGAGGCGGGATCCATCAAGCTTCTCGGTGAACTTGATGATGGGATAGTTAGAAACTCATTCGACTCTGTCGACCACTAGGCGCCCAGCATCGGAAAGCCAACGGCTTGTCGTCTATTCGGCACCATCCTTTACCGACCTTCTTATCACCGTTCTTCAGGCTTCCCTCGCCATCAATTCTACCAAACCACCACATGAAAAAATTTAACTGGTATCAACACTCGGAATCGACTTCTTCGACGCACAATGGGCTCAACAAGCAGCTGATATCGGCATCGTATTGAATTCCAACTCCCAGTTCGTGATAAGTAGCTTTATGGAGACGATGTATGACGACTCGGAAAGTTTGGATGTCTTTGGGCCGCTAGATTGGGCCTCAAGATGTGGGTTCGGCGGGGGGGAGAGGCAGGCCCTTTAGAAGGAAGATAATGCAGGAAGGGGTGGTTTCAGGTACAGATGCAAGGATGCGGCATAGAGTTTTTTTTCTTCTCCTTGTCCTTTCTTTTTTGATGATTTTTATTGGGTTGACAGACACCTACGATGAAGCGTATATCGATGATACGAGATTGGATCAATGGAATGAAGCGTTTGGATTATGATTTGACCATTGGTTGCCGTTTGGTCCTCTGTTCTTTTTCCTTCATCCCTACAACAAAAACCTCTTTTGGTTGGTTAGCAGAATATCATGAAAGCACGGAACTGACATCTAACTATATTATCATCACATTCTCCCTCTTTTCTCACTGAGGTTGACTCCCAGGGATTTGAAGCTTATCCAGCGTCCCTGACTCATAATACTCCATCCACTTTTATGAATCTACTTCTCCCTTTAAACTGTGGCTTCCTCATCCGTTGTTATATCCCCTCATCCAACTACACCCTTCCTATCCATCGATATTCGACCGGAAACGCTTTTCTTGTCTCTCAATCCTCATATCAGTACGGTTGCGAAAGTCTATTTATCAGGAGCAACCTATTGACGACATGGCGTCGAAATAACGTTAACCGTGGCAGAATGTGGGCCAGCGGAAGATTGCGAAGGTCATTTTTGTTCAGCCATTATATACTGTCGGTTAAAATAGTAGTGTTACTTGTACTGCCACTTCACCGTGGGAAAAGTAAACTCCATTGCACAATTAGACGCTCTTGAGCTATCATCAATCAATCATCATGTTGAGCAAAAGGCCATCTAGCAATAATCGCATTGACAAATTTACTCGGTCTTTCAAAGGGAAGCTATCTTCTCTTTTTCAATCGTCACGCCCACCTACACTATCGTCGATGGACGCGGATTCGGGCTCTGATAACCATATGACAACGACAGATACAGGAACAAGGTGAGTAACTAAATCCTATTGTCCGAGATTCATTGATTATTACTTATCATCCTTATACTTTCAAGTAATTTGCCACTCAAGATGCTCCCTGCCACAGGGGTTGCGAGTACGGAAGCAGGCACAGTGTCCCCTCCAGTTTCCGTACCCATCTCAGCGCCCATGTCTCAGCAAGTTGGTTCCGTCAGTGACCCCGGACCAAACGCTCCACCCACGGTCAGCGTCCGTGTTGCGCTCATGACCGTCGTCATTAATTGCTGCTCATTTAGCACATGTCAACGAACACCCATAGTCCAATGTCTCTCTTCCAAGGCGCTCACAATGTATACCTGCATCAGCCGAAGTTCAACATGGCTAACAGTGTAAGCATCATTCATCTGGGTAAGAGCCAATCTGTGTGCTGAGAGTTCCATCGCTTTGTCGGGAACAGTCAAGGTCTCAAATCTTGGTGAGCATATTAATCTTCGCTTAGGATGATCTCTGCTAAATGCTAGTTCATAGAAGGCACTATCTGAGAAACTTCTGCCACGTGCCCAATTTGCAGAATACGACGCAGCAAGTCTACGCAACGCTTGTACGGAGCACACTCGCCAAGCCATCCTCTATACGCTGCAAATATGGGCCAGTGATAATACAACCACCATGGTATACTGGCTCAATGGGATGGCTGGAACTGGTAAAACAACAATTTCATATGCATTCAGCAAATTCCTCCGTGAAAGAGGTTCCCTTGGTGGTACCTTCTTCTCTTCTCGTCAACGGGTTGATACCAGTGATATTCATTGCATCATCCCCACCATCTCACTTCAGTTGGCCAAGTATCTTCCTTTCCTGTCACAACATATCCTGGATGTGGTGGAAGCCAATCCTGACTGCTCATCTTGGGGGATTAGGGATCAATTCCTGAATTTCATTGTTAAACCCCTCACTGATGCATACAGGGATACCAGAGAAGTAGTAGATGTCCCAGTCATTGTTCTTGATGCTCTGGATGAGTGCTCTGACCAGTCCCTTGTGGCTGAGTTGCTTTTTATGATCTCAGAGCATAGTAAATCTCTTCCAGCCAAGTTCTTCATCACAAGTCGTCCAGGGATAATGCTCCAGCATCCTTGGGATCACTCTAATTTCCTCCTTCATGAGATTGAAAAGGAGATATACCAGGCTGATATTGAGCTTTATATTAAAGCTTGCTTGCTTGAAGGTCAAATTAAGCATAATAGACATGACTGGCCTTCTCAGGCTGAACTTGACATGCTTGTCAACATGACTGGCTCTTCATTCATTTATGCAGCAACTGTCTGCAGATATATTACTGGGAGGGGTAGTGTTGGCATGCCTGAGCGTCTTTCATATGTTGTCAATTCTGCATTGGAGACAATATCTGGTATAAACCATCCACTAGACATTCTTTATGAAAGAATTTTGGATGCTGTCTATGACCCTACAAGTATTTGGAAGGCATCAGATATAGACATGGTGCTTACAGCTGTTGTATATGTCTATAATCCACTTTCAATGACTGCCATCAGTGCTTTGATGCAAATGCCCATAGAACACACTAGGGCTGTTCTTTCTTCACTCCATTCCTTGATATATATCCCATCTCAAGATTCTGATTTACCCATCTCAATATTCCATGCTTCCTTCAATGATTTCATCAGTAATCAACTTTTTCCCACAAAGCACCATCTTGACCCTTGTGTTTCACATAAAAATTTAGCACTTCAATGTCTGTCCTTGATGGAGAAAGAATGGTCAAAGAAAGAAAGAGTCCCTTACTTGGCAGAGAGGAAATGTGAAGAATTTTCTGAAGCCCTTGCATATGCTTGTGGTAGCTGGGCCTCTCATTTCACCTATGTAGACAATGAGAATGGATCTGATAAGC